CATTGGCGGTGCTGTAGGCTCAGTATCCTAATCTATGTCTTTCCTCTGCTGGTGCTATAAGGGTTAAAATTATGGGCATTCCAGAAATTCTCATAGCACTGGACAGACTTTAGAAAGTGTGGTACATCAACCTTGTTTGTCTGTTAGCTGACACTCTGTGGCCTCTATGGGATCAGCCACATGTCTTATTTAAAGGAATAATCTTCCACCTTGCTTCTCGGTTACTGCCTTACAACTTGGTTGTTTAAAGTCAGATTCTGCTGATACAGGCATTTCTGATTCTGTAATCCTGACTATACTGACAGCTCATAATTCTTGTGGATTATCATGGAAGGTGGAAGATTTGTTTCACTGGTTCGAGTGTCTGGGTTTTTTTCCACTTGCTTTTTGATGTACAATGTTCTTTCTTACATTTGGCTCCCAGCACTAAATCAGGTGTCAACTTTGTGCATTGCTTTTAAACATTCTTTTCATTATTATTCACTGACTTGTGCCTTTAATTATTATTATTATTATAAAGGATTTATATAGCGCCAGCAGTTTGCACAGCATTTTACAACGTGAAGTTTGCACAACGCTTTACAATGTGTGTTCCCATGTTAGACCTTCATTTCAACAACGGTTCAATCTAATATTGTGTGTTTTGTTCTTGAGGTTGCAGTCTCATAAGATAGCTTTTCTTGGGCAATTTTCTTGGCCAGAAATGTTTCTGGGTTATCAGCATTGTCCAGTAAATAGCACCAATTGTTCTTACAAAAAGCCATGGTTGTTTTGAGACCAAGAACCTCTTTTTAACCAAAGTGGTTTCCGAAGAAGTGCTTTCTTACGAGCCTGGTGCCTATCAGTATTGGGGCATTGGTGCTGTGAGAGGGGCAACCCTAAACATAGAGGCTATGTAGGCTGATATGAAAATATGTCAGGGGTCACTGTACTCTTCCTTGAGAAAGAAGCTCCTGCCAGCAAATATGCTTGCAGACTTAAAAAGACCCTGCCAAAAACACAGTTTTCTGTACTTGTGACATTCAACAGCTGTTCACCGGTTGCTCCATGTAATTATGATGTGTAAATGTGATTGTGATTCTAGGATGCCACCTGAATGCCATTGAATGCCACTTGGCAGAGTAAAACTAGAAAATTCAGGAAAAAATGCAGGAAAAAATATAGAAAGCTAATAGTGAGGGAGAGAAGGGGAGAAAGGTGTTAATGGTGGTTAGGGTTGACAAGGAGTTAAACAGGTACAATCTTATGTGAAATAAATACATTTATTCACTTGCATTTTGTGCACATTAAAGGAAATCTGCACATAAAGGACTGCAGGCAGTATATACACACTTTGTTTATGCAGGAGCGGCTGTAGGTGCTCCTGCGACATAGACTGGTCCATGCATCATAAACCTGGTTTTCAAAATGAAGGCTTATCCCAGCAATTTCAAACAACTGTGGAGCCATGACAGGGGAGGAGAACCAAGTGCACCAACTATGGTACTTTGTATTTGTGTATGCTACCTATGCCTTGGCCAAACATACGTTTAAAGAGAAGTATGGACAAATTGTTTTTGGGAATACTTATCCTATGGGTCTCAGGAGTGCACTTACGTTTGCTCTCTTGTGACATAGAGTCAGCTTATATATCGGGCTATTGACCCCTGTCAGCTGATATGGCAGAGCTGTTTCAGGCTCTGGAAGGATCCCAACCATGTTGTCGGGATCCAGCCAGCTGCCTGATTGACAGCAGGCTCCGGCTCTCATTGCGTGGCTGAGAGCCAAGCCTGATATTCCTTCCCTCTCTCCAGCCTGATGTGAGAACTAACAGTCACTGCTCTCCACTCTGAGCTGAACGATAAGTTGTCATGTGATCACAAAGTTTTCAGGGTTAGAGTTGACATGGGACAGATACAGCATCAGAGCGGAGTATGAAGGTTTGTTTGTTTAACATACCCCAAACTTCTCCTTTAAAGTGACACTAAACTCTGGTTAAAAAAAATCTATTCAACAATGAATTCCTAATTTAACCACTTGCCCTCCAGAGGATTTACCCAGATGGAGCTTTCTTTGTGGTATTTGATCGCCTCTGCGTCTTTAATTTTTTGCGCTATAAACAAAAAAAGACCGACAATTTTGACTTTTTTGCTATTAAACATGTCCACTAAAAAAAATAAAAAAAATATAATTTTGTCATAAATTTAAAATGTATTCTGCTACATGTCTTTGCTAAAAAAATCCTAATACGTGTAAATTAATTGGCTTAGCGTCTACAAATGGCGGTATATATACTGAATTTTTTTTTTCCGTTATACTAGTAATGGCAGCGATCAGCGACTTATTGCAGAACTGTGGCAGGCATTCTGACACTGAGGGTGAATTGACTAACTGCTACTGACATCCCCAGTGACACTAATATAGTGATCAGTGCTAATAAAAAGCACTGACACTGTACTAATGACACTGGGCAGGAAGGGGTTAACACCTGGTGCGATAAAAGGGATAACTGTGTGCTGTTTTACTATTGTGTATGTGTGTGTTGTACTGTGTCAGCACATTGCTTTGTATTGCTCTGCTATGTAGAGAAATACAAAACAGTGTACAGGCTCTGACGGGAGAAATCTGTATTATTTGCATACAGACCTCTACTCCGTCAGTGATACTCAGCAATCGCCAGGTGTCAATGGGGAATCACTGGCCTGGACCCAATGATCGACAGCTGTAGTTGCTGCAAGCAAGCAGTTAAAAAGTACTTTCTGTTGTTCTCAGCCACCTCCAAATTACATTTTTTTTTTTCTGTGATCCAACTTTCCATTGGTAGGGTAACTACATCCATTCTCCATGGTCCCATGTAGCCACCCTAACATTTTTAGTAAGCTCCTGAATTTTTGTTCCCCCTGTTTTCAGTTTATTTGGAACATGCACTTCTTGTCCCAAACAAATGGAAGTGAGGAGGAAAGAAAGAGCTTCAGGAGCTCGCGGAGGACATTACAAAAGAGAAATATACAGTAAGAAACAATTTAATGAAAAATAGATAACAGGGCCCTTAAGCAGTGGTTTAGTGTTGCTTTAGTTGTTCATTATTTTGCTGCCACCGTGTGCTCACTGTTTAACTACGTCTTAGTCTGTGTATTCTCCCCCTTTGTATGATGCAATTTCCTCCATACTTAATGTAATTACCTGCTATCTTTCCTGCAAGACACTCTGGGATAGGGCAGGAAATATTCCTTTTGACCACTTATTATTTCAATATCTACTTGCCTGGACATGCAGTAAAAGATATTTGTGAATGCAAAGTACATGGTGACTTCTGATGAAGATTAAGTGTGGTGATTGTCTATTTGCCTTTAATAAATCAACCCCTATGTGTTTTTCAAAATTTTGTGAGTTTCAGCCAACGAATACATTTGGCTTTTGAAACACTGTTACTGTTAGGTAAAGTGGTTGTAAAGGCTCAAGGTTTTTTGCCTTCATGCATTCTGTGCATGAAGGTAAAAAACCTTCTGTGTGCAGCAGTGCCCCCAGCCTCCTTAATACTTACCTGAGCCCCATTGAGATCCAGCGATGTGCACGACAGCCTCAACTGTCCTGGGTCTCTGCCTCCTCATTGTCTGAGACAGCAAGCGGGAGCCATTGGTTCCCACTCCTGTCAGTCACAGCCAGTCTGTCAATGAGGAGAGAGAGGAGGCAGGTCCAAGCTGCGGCTTTGTGTTTGAATGCAGCAGGTGCCCCCATAGCAAGCACCCAACAGAAAGGAGGAGCCAGGAGAGCCTGCGAGGGACGCAAGAAGAGGAGGATCCAGGCTGCACTGTGCAAAACCACTGCAAGAGCAGGTAAGTATAAGCATGTTTGTTATTTTATAAAAAAATAAATAAAATGAACCTTTAGTATCACTTATAATCATTACTCCTAATGGTTCTTTATTACATTTACCTCACAACATTTGCTTGGTCACAATGCACCTTTGTTCATTTAATGGACCATGTGGATCTTCTAGGTATAACCGATGCCAAAGTCCACAGCTTTCCGCTCACCTCCTTCTCAATATCCACTCCACCACATACAAATAAAACTCTACACAGTACTTTATCCTTTTAAAATTTTAATCACTTCATAAAACAGATATATATGCACTCACTTGAAACAGATGCTAAATCATACCAGATGTATACAGTATAGATGTTTAGAATTTAGCAATCCTGTGCTATATCGTCTCCAAACACTATACAATTACTACACTCTCATGTCCAAACAAGCATTGTGACATCCTCCAAAGTCCCTACGTGTTTCATCACCACACATGTGACTTCTTCAGGGGAATTGTCCCCACAATAGGTGCGTAGCTGCTGACAAGGGGGTTTCTAAGTATTTCATATTTTTCATATTCTTCGTATTGTATTTTTCTTAGGTGCAACTCAGCACATTAGCAGGAATTGCTCAGATTGTCACAGTTAGTGGGGAGTATTTTTTTAAATTTTATTTTACTTTTATTTAATTTTATGTGATTTTTTAAATCTTATTTCATTGTACTTAGATTTTTTCCTTAGCAGCTCGCAAGGTTTATATACTCTTTAGTACGATCGGATCTCTTTTTATGGCGGGGTATATATTAATTAAGGTATACAACATTTTGGACTGGTGTTACCTTTTGTTGAAATGTAGTTCTGAACTTCTCCAGGACCTCAAACCATTTCCCGTACAGCAACTTTTTTTTAGAACAAAACAAATCACAAAAATTACAATATGTATATCAGAATCATTATTTATTATTATTATAATACAGGATTTATATAGCGCCAACAGTTTGCTCAGTGCTTTACAATATAATGGGAGACAATACAGCAACAATACAGTTCAATACAAGAGGGATAGGAGGGCTCTGCTCCTTGGAGCTTACATTATATCCCTTCACATGCAGTACACATGCAACCTGTGTGCCTTTGCGGTACACAATTAGGTTTTGCCCTTTTATAATGAGATTGCTGAAATAATTTTTGTTTCTTCTTTTTTTTTTACAGAAAAGTTTAATGCTTATGTAACCTTAAAAGTACAAAATGTGAAGAGCACAACTATTGCAGTCAGGGGCAACTTGCCCTGTTGGGAGCAAGACTTTATGTTGTAAGTAAAGATCAGTGACTTACCATATGATCATCAGTTATGTCATACATCATTGAGTGAAGTTACTTTCTGTTTTTCTGCAGTGAGATTAACAGACTGGATTTAGGATTGACGGTGGAAGTCTGGAATAAAGGACTTATATGGGACACAATGTTAGGGACTGTATGGATTCCATTAAGGACCATTCGACAGTCCAATGAGGTAAGCATGATAGACTTTAGAAAAAAAAAATCTGACTGATGCAGCTGCTGTTTGGTTGAGTTTTTCCACTTGGCTTCTTCAATTTTTCATTTGAAAGATGTTGGATGGGAGGGTGGCAACAGGGCCACAAGCTTATCAAACTTTGGTTCATCAGGAACCAGCAGAAATTTGCACAACCTAACATTTTTACTATATTAAACTACATTCTATGAAGGATAATCTTTTTTTTGTCAGCTGCCCTTTATAAGTGACACTTTAATAAATACAGTGAATGTTAACATGTAGTTATTATGTTTGACAGATGGAACAAGAGAACATTTCCTGCAACAAAAATTACATTTTCAATTGTGCATGATGCGTAGAGGAGATACAACAATATAAGCTGCTGATACAGCTACAAAAATTGATAACACTTTTGGGCACTCTTTTTTACAGACTGTATCATTAGACTTCAAGTGTATTTATTTGAAAAAATTTTCTTAGCTTTTAATAGATTGCGAAATGATTAAAATCCCTGTCTGTATCTCAGTAGAGCGATTTCCCTGTGATTACTGTCCCAGAAATACAATAGACAGTGAGAAGAATTTTCTCTAAAGTAAAGGGAAATCCACTCCCAGGCAGTTCTTACCTCAAGATGTGTCCCAAATTCTGGCCACAAATGAAAAATTGTAAATTCCCTATCACTTTCTGATCTTGTAACAATGGTCAGCCGAACAAGCAAAGGGGAGCAAATCTCCCCAGCAAAGACACAAACAATAAAAACTTCAGAGTTCTAACCCTTCCTTACTCTATGCAAACTTTCCCTACTCTATTTCCTTTTCCCTTGTTTAGTATCTTTCCTTACTATTTCCATACCAATTCACTGGGTTTAATGATAACTGTTGATACTATGCCGTGATTGGAGCAAAAGAAAAGGGAAACTGAAGAAAGCTGTATTTTAGTGGATTTCCTACCCCTGTCCACTTAGGGGTTAAGTTACAAAAGGCAAATATACTGTGTATTCTGCAAGTGCAGTTGCACTAGAACTTAGTAAATGAGGTGAAGCTTCACTTTGCAAAGAATAGCCAATCACATACAAGGGAAATTAAAAAAACAGCATTTTTGCTTGCACGATTGAATAATGGAAGGCAGCAAAGCTTCCCTTCATTTACTAAGCTCCGAAGCAACTGCACTTGCAGAGTGCAGGTCTATTTGCCTTTAGTAAATCAACCCCATTGCAGAAGAAAGTGAAGTTTGAGAGCTTATAAAACTAAAATGCATGAAAACAACAGATAGCTGGAAACAGAAACTTGTAGCTATTTTATTGGGGACATCTTCAGGGTCGCTGGTATTTATAAAATTAAGCAAACAATTGTGTTGGGGAGCTGTCTACTGGTTTAAAAAAAAGGGCACGATATGCAACATATTTTAAAAAAGAAAATTTGGTTACTCTGCATAGAATAATTCATAGATCAGAAACCGCATATTTAAAAATAAAAAATATATACAACTATCATATATAATTTAGATATAAAAAAATCAAACCATGCATGTAAATCAATGCTGAACATCTGGGTGACATCCCATCACCTGTTACAATTCATTTGAGATCTTGCTTTTAGGGTTCAGACGTGTTTGTACCACCCACAGCCACTCCCCTTTAAACGCGTACAGTGAACATGGCACGTAGTTTAAGGGGTTAAAATAGGTGGAAAGGAGGTGATATAACACCTCCTCACCTCCTGTCAAATGTCCTCTAAAAAGCAATACAAATGTGAATTGCTCTTCAGAGTGCAGCGCTTGTGTAAATGAGGCCTTAAGGACATTACATAGTTCCTTAGTAAGTCAGGTTAAAAGAGACACAAGTCCATCTAGTTCAATCAAGAGAAAACAAAATAGACAACATCCATATACACAATCGTACACCTTCAGTTGATCCAGAGGAAGGCAGGAAAACACCTGTATAAAGCATGGTCCAATTTGCTCCAGCAGGGTAAAAAAATTCCCTTCTAATTCCACAAAAGGCAGTCAAATATTCCCTGGATCAACAACAATGCCTGGTGTTACTACCTATAAATGTTAGTATCCAATTATATTTTGTGCATTCAGGAATGCATTCAGCTCCTTTTACAACAATCTACTAAGATGGACAGAACCAATTCTTGAGGGAGCCTCTTCTACATTTTCACAGCTCTTAGGCTACGTTCACACTAGCCTTGTTAGCAAGTGGCAGACAGGCGTTTGGGAAGTGTTTTTACCGTTTCCCAAACGCCTGGGGAAATTCTGCACATTGCAGCACATACACCCTGTTCCAAATTATTATGCAAATTCTTTTAAGGTGTCACAAGATTAAATATTTTGTTTTTCAGTTTAAATCATGGATGGTATTGTGTCTCAGGGATCTTTTGATCACTGAAAACAATCTCGGACACCTGTGATAATTAGATTTGCAGGTGAGCACAATTTAAGGAAAAACTACTAAAGGACGGTGTTCCACATTATTAAGCAAAGCACCATTTTCAAGCAATATGGGGAAGAAAAAGGATCCCTCTGCTGCTGAAAAGAGTGAAATAGTTCAATGCCTTGGACGAGGTATGAAAACATTAGATATTTCACGAAAACTTCAGTGTGATCATCGCACTATTAAGAGATTTGTGGCTGATTCAGAGCACAGACGGGTTCGTGCAGATAAAGGCACATTGAAGAAGATTTCTGCCAGATCCATGCATCAGATCAAGAGAGCAGCTGCTAAAATAGCAGCAAACAGATATTTGAAGCTGCTGGTGCCTCTGGAGTCCCACGGACATCAAGATGTAGAGTCCTCCAGAGTCTTGCAACTGTGCATAAACCTTCTATTTGGCCACCACTAACCAATGCTCAGAAGCAGAAACGGCTGCATTGGGCAGAAAAATACATGAAGACTAATTTTCAAACAGTCCCGTTCACTGATGAGTGCCGTGCAACCCTGAATGGTCCAGATGGATGGAGTAGTGGATGGTTGGTGGACGGCCACCCTGTTCCAACAAGGCTGCGACGTCAGCAAGGCGGTGGTGGAGTCATGTTTTGGGCCGGAATCATGGAAACAGAGCTGGTCAGCCCCTTTAGGGTCCCCGAAGGTGTAAAGATGACCTCTGCAAAGTATGTGGAGTTTATGACTGACCGCTTTCTTCCCTGGTACAGAAGGAAGAACTATGCTTTCCGTAATAAAATCATCTTCATGCATGACAATGCACCACCTCATACTGCAAAGAACACCTGTGCATCAATGGCTGCTATGGGGATAAAAGGAGAGAAAGTCATGGTGTGGCCTCCATCCTACCCTGACCTCAATCCTGTTGAGAACCTTTGAAGCATCCTCAAGCAAAAGATCTATGAGGGCGGGAGGCAGTTTACATCCAAACAGCAGCTCTGGGAGGCTATTCTGACATCTTGCAAACAAATTCAAGCAGAAACTGTCCAAAAACTCACAAGTTCAATGGATGCAAGACTTGTGAAGCTGCTATCAAATAAGGGGTCCTATGTTAAAATGTAACGTGACCTGTTAAAATGTTTAAAAAGTTAAAATGTTATTAAAAGTTTGATTGAAATAGCTTTTGATTTCAGTAAATATGCTGCAAACACAACAAATGAAAATTTTCAGTTCTTTACAACCTATAAAGTGTTTTGAAACTTACTGTGCGTAATAATTTGGAACAGTGCATTGTAAGTTTTTATGTTTAAAAAAAAATACTGTTATCATTAGGAGGTTTGTTCAATAAAATTTGAATTGTACTCTTAATAGTTGATAACATGAGAATTATGCTGACTGTTATTTACATCAATTATTTAGGTAAATGAGAAAAATATCATTTGCATAATCATTTGGAACAGGGTGTAGTGCTGTTCAAACGGGAGCGTTAGCGTCGCATTGCGTCACGTCGTGGCAAAACGGACGCCTCTGGTCGAGTCAGGAGGAGTTGAAGCCTCCTATTCAAGTCTATGGTGCCGCTCATCCGTCGCTGCGGTTGCGTTGCAGTTGCGTGGCGTTTGCGGAGCGGTAACACCATTCAAACTTCATTATAGGCGTTTGTGGGGTGTTTTTAACGCTTGGCAAATGCCTAGCAACGGCTGCTAAACTGCACATGCGGTGTTTGCGGAGCGTTAAAAATGCCCCACAAATGCTGGACCAACGCTTGTCATATGCTATAGGGGTGTTTGGCAAGAATTGGAAAAACAGTCAAATGTGAATGAGCCCTAACTGTGCAAAAGACTTTCTGTATGTGGAGGTTAAATCTCTTTTCCTCCAGATGTGAAGATTCCCCTTTTGTCCTTTGTAATGTCAATAACACTACAACAAAGATAACTATATGGACCACCCATTTAAACATGTTGATCATATCCCCCTTCTATCTCCTCTTCTCACAAGAGAATAAATTAATTTCAGCTAATCTTTACTCCTAAGTGAGCGCCTCCATGCCTCGTAGTCCATATATAACTTTCTTCAAAAAATATATTCGCCACAACCGTGAATTCCTTTGTGCTCAACATCCCATCAAAGTGCTAACTCACCAGATGCTGGTGTTTAATCAGCATTTCAATCGAATATCAGTATGTAATTGCACTGCATAGTTTGTCCATATCTGCAAAGACTGAAATGGTACTTTTTATACTAGACTATATCATTTATAAACATGTTAAAAAGTAAGGGTCCCAACACTGAACCTTGAAGTACACCACTATTAACCTTAGAACATTCAGAGTACTCTGAATACAAGCTTTTAGAGAGTTTTCTATCCATTTACAAACTAAATTTTCCAAGCCTGCAGACTTTACCTTACGCATTAGCCATGTGTGGGGAACTGTGTCAAATGTTTTTGTAAAGTCCAAGTAAATTATATCCACAGCCCCTCCTTTGTTTAACTCTTTGATTAATTCCTCATTATAAAGAAATCAGATTTGTTTGACAACTTCGGTCTTTCATAAATCCATTTTGAAAATTGCATTAAACTAGCTGATCTATAGTTGTTTGGTAAAGTCTTTGATCACTTTTTAATTTTAAACATCATGTCAACTTTGCACCAATCTGGTCCAGGTGCTTTATTCACCATTATTTTATCTAAATGTTTCTGGATTATATATCAGTTTTGAGCCATTTGATTTCTGGGGTGATATGTGATACCTATCCCTATTATGGACATGAGCTCCCCCTGTATTCTTTGTATACAAAGAGCTGAAAAAGGACATTTAATACATTTGCCTTCTCTTTTTCTCATTCACAAGTTCCAATTTTCCTGCTGAAATATTAGCAGTTCCAATTCCATTCTGCATTGCCATTAAAATATTTAGACTCGAACTATAGGAAAACCTGTTGGAACACTCCCATATACTGCTAGTTGTATATTTTTTTTATTTGGCCACATATGTCATTGAGTATTTTCTCTCCATGAATGAAAGTGTCTTTAAAGCCAAAATATTTTCTTTATTTTTGTATAAAGTAGGAAAGGGTTAGAATCTCTGTTTTATTTGAATCGTGTCTATGCCCCCACAGATTTTACCTCTATTTGGTCTTCTGACCAAAGTTATTGAGACAGAAAGTGATGGGAATTCCAAAATAGTGTAGTTGTCATTAGAACAAGAGGTGAGGGTATATTTTCTAATTGAGATACCCATGCTAGTGACAGATATCTAAGTCGGGAATTGTTCTCACTTTCTGGTTATTTCATCTCACTTCCTGAAGCATAGCAGGTGCCAGGAATGAAAATAAATCTCCCTAGTGGGATATGGTAAATATAATCTGCCAAGGTGTTAAACCCTTCTTTACTGTAACCAAAACAAAAAAAAGGTGTTTTGTATGCATACATAGTAAAAGTGGGTTACTCACTGGATCCTGCCAGGTGACTGCAGGTGACTCCACTCTACAGATATGTAGCAGTACCCCCGAAGGATCCGCTTGTATGTTTTCCCGGTTTCCCTTTACTTTGCCCCACAATCAGACACAGTGTATTTCTTCAACAAAATACACACACACTTCCACTCGTTGACTTCAATGACCAGTCTAGGGGATGTTTTATTGTTGGGAATTTTATTGTAGAACTGGGGATAGGGATGGGGAATTGTAGTAGGGCACTCCAAAATTAGAACTATTCATATTGAGGACATCTAGCTGATCTCTTAGTTGAGCACTTGTGAAGTCCGGTTTGACAGTAGATAGCAGATTTCTCTTTACTTTGTAGCAACAAGTAGTTTAGGAGTGAGCAAAGTCCCTTTTTGCAGTAGTATTAGTTACAGGGCTGAGCTCCTCAGGTATAATCCAGTTACGACAGACTGCTACAGCCCAAAGATAACATAGCTGAGCAAAGTCCCTTGCAGTAGCAACACTTGGACAAGCTCTTCAGAACACTAGCCAGTGTTCTTTTTTTTCCAGACCCACGCTGACAATCAAACACCAGGGGTGGTAGCAAGCACACAGTGTCCCCAAATTCCTCAATGTCAGTACTCACAAGGCCCAAGGACAGAATGATTGCCTCCTTCCAATCTTCCTAGTGAAACCCTGCAGTGATACCAGACAGAGAGCTTTGATAGACAACTCCCCTCAGTCAGCTTACTGTAGAACCAGGGTCATTCTCTCTAACTTCAGCCCCCCCCCCCCCCGGGGGGCAGCCTGTTGCCAAGCGAAGAAGCCTGCCTCCAGCCTGGCTGTTCAATTCTCTCCCAGGAAAGACACTGAAACCATGTGCTCTCAGAACATAAATACCACTCCCATCATGCAATGGGACTGCTTTTCCCTGCAATTGGCAAGGGATGTATCCATATTTATGCTGTTCATTTGCCTAGCCCCTTCCCATGTTCTGGAAGACTCCCATAGCTTCCTGAAGGTGGGCAGAACTCAGACCAATTCAAACAGCACCAGAGCATCATGAACAGACCTAACTAATCAATCACAGCACTCTGTTAAGCAGAATACCATACTGAACTTACCAGACAGCTTCTCTGGTAAGCAGAGAAACGCAACTATGCTTAATCTAACTACACGCATCCTAGCAACTAACTAGATAGGTGCTACAGATACATATACAGTATGTTTGCTTCCAATGTGGCCAGCTATAGCTAGCTGGGACCAACATGAGCTTGGATTCCTTTCCACAGTGATCACAGACACTTCTTACTTTGTTGCAGCTGATTTTCAACACCATAGTGCAACAGAGACGTGTGTTTTGTTAAAGTGGATTTCATGCACTATTCTAGTGCAGGTCTGTAGATTTTCTTTTTATCCCCGTGAGCTGAACTTTCTTTATATGCAAGTAGATTTCATGCACTAGTCTAATGCGCTTTTGTTGGATTTCTTTTCACATAACGTGATTCAGCTATTTCCAGATGTGTCAGGAGTTACAAAGTTTAGAGCTTTTGTGGATAATTGGATTTAGCAAGTTTAACCCTCCACACCACAAAGATTGCATTTCAATTTTATTGATGTCAATGGACATTCATGACTGGGGCAGGCCTTTCTGCGTGGTGTGTCTCACACAGGAGCCCCATTAGAAGATCTCTATTGAGCCACCAATTAACTGAAAAACTTACATAAAGGGGCTATATCTACAGCATCTGAAGACAATTGCTTTGTTTTATACTTGGTTTTGTGTGTATTTTTAAGCATTTCCCTTTGATATGCAGTTTGATAAACAATGCAATTGATAATGCAATTATTATATTAAAAACATTCTTTGTAAGTTTTTTGCTTTCATTATTACATTTTTAATTGATTTCTGATTTTTTTTTTTAGTGGCTCACATACTTTTTTCCGTGTATTCATATTTTTATATTCATTTTGGTTTTTCTTTTAAATGGAAGGAATAGATATATGATTATTGGTGGCAAAAGGAATTTTTTCTTGTTGAAAAAACATTTCTTTGTATATCTTTTGGCTATGTTTATTATTTTAGTTACCTCCTAGGCTGCATTCACACCTGAGCTTGGCAGCTTTGATCGTTTTATAGGGTTTTCTTTTTTGTGTGTGTTCTGCAGGCATTTTTGCTTAGTTTTGTGGGCGTCTGAAGCTTGAGCATTTATTTTTGTAATCACATTTAGTCAGTGGAAAGCTAGTTACTAGAGAATGAAAACATGTGATGAGGGCTTTTTTAACACACTTTTTTAGTGCGTATTCACGTATTCTTCAGGCACACTTGTTGAAGTCTGTTGGGGCCAAAAACGCTTAAAGCTTGTGGCTGAAAAGAAGCTCATGTTCTTTTTTTCAAGCTACATGCTTCAAGAGACACCATACTCAAGTGTAAACAGGCACAAATCAAAACCATGGGATTTGTGAGCCACAAAATGCTCAGGTGTGAATGGGTCCTTGGGCAAAGTTGCTTAATTCTACATACGTATATATGTATACAGATATATTACTTCTTTATTTTTCATTGACACACACTGAGGCAAGATGTATGGATGCAAATAGTAAAAATGGACAAATATGACTTCCTTTCTCTCAACTTTCTTTTTCATTATCATAAACCAGATTTTTGGTCATTTTCTTCCATGACAGGAAGGCCCAGGTGAATGGTTGACCCTTGACTCTCAAGTTATAATGACAGATAATGAGATCTGTGGAACCAAAGACCCCACCTTCCACCGCATCTTACTTGACACTCGGTTTGAACTTCCATTAGGTAACAAACTGAAATTGTTTTTTGTACTTTTTACATTATATTTTATCATTTGTTTCTTAAAAAAATGCAACATTCTTGAATTCTAAATTACATTGGGGTCCATATCCTCAAATAAGCATATGGTTTAGAAGAACTTGCTTTGGACAATCTCTACAAGATTTACCCAGATGTACAAATCCCAGTAGTTACCAACATCAATGCAAACCAGTAGCTGATAAAATATTGTTCTCAGATATTAAACACCACAAAGGCTATTTTTTTCTGCAATATAATTAACTAAAGCAGATACAAACCACTCTACGATAGGCAGAAGAAAAGGCGAGATGGGAAGAGGCCCACAATATTCACAAACAATTAGATCATGGATACCTAATATGGCAGTCAACTATGTTGGAACTGGCATTAAATCATACTTTTTGATTAGGAAGTACACTGCTCAAAAAAATTAAAGCAACACTTTTTAATCAGAGTATAGCATCAAGTCAGTTAAACTCCTGGGATATTGATCTGGTCAGTTAAGTAGCAGAGGGGGTTGTTAATCAGTTTCAGCTGCTTTGGTGTTAATGGAATTAACAACAGGTGCAGTAGATGGGCAATAAAGAGACAACTCCCAAAACAAGAATGGTTTTACAGGTGGAGGCCACTGATTTTTTTTTCCGTACTCATCGTTTCTGACTGTTTTTCACTAGTTTTGCATTTGGCTAGGATCAGTGTCACTACTGGTAGAATGAGTCAATGTCTGGATCCTAAAGAGGTTGCACAGGCAGTCCAACTCCTTCAGGATGGCACATAAATAAGTGCCATTGCCAGAAGATTGGCTGTCTTCTAGAATCTCCTCAAGAGCATGGAGGAGATTCCAGAAGACAGGCAGTTACTCTAGGAGAGCTGGACAGGGTCTTAGAAGGTCCTTAACCCATCAGCAGGACAGGTATCTGCTCCTTTGTGTAAGGAGGAACAGGATAAGCACTGCCATAGCCTTACAAGCCTTGACCTCAGCAGGCCACTGGTGTGAATGTCTCTGACCAATCAGAAACAGACTTCATGAGGGTGGCCTGAGGGCCCGACGTCCTCTAGTGGGCCTGTGCTCACTGCCCAGCACCATAGCGCTTGATTGGCATTCGCCATTGAACACCAGAATTGGCATGTCTGCCACTGGCACCCTGTGCTTATCACAGATGAGAACAGGTTCACCCTGAGCACATGTGGCAGACATGAAAGGGTCTGGAGAAGCCATGGAGAATGTTATGCTGCCTGTAACATCATTCAGCATGACGGTTTTGGTGGTGGGTCAGTGATGGCCTGGGGAGGCATATCCATGGAGGGACGCACAGACCTCTACAGGCTGGACAATGGAACCCTGACTGCCATTAGGTATCGGGATGAAATCCTTGGACCCACTGTCAGACCCTTCGCTGGTGCAGTGAGTCCTGGCTTCCTCCTGGTGCACGACAATGCCTGGCCTCATATGGCGAGAGTATGCAGGCAGTTCTTGGAGGATGAAGGAATTGATACCATTGAATGGCCCTCATGCTCTCCTGACCTAAATCCAATAGAACACCTCTGGGATATCATGTTTTGGTCCATCCGATGCCACCAGGTTACACCTCAGACTGTCCTGGAGCTCAGTGATGCCCTGGTCCAGATCTGGGAGGAAATACCCCAGGACACCATTGTAGTATATTGTGTGCAAACAGGGAAATAAAAGCCAGCACATCCCCTAGTAAAACAGAACACAGTACACAGTTTAGTCACAACATAGTACACAGTTAAGCCTTTGATCGCCCCAGTTGTTAACCCCTTCCTGCCCAGTGTCATTAGTACAGTATCAGTGCTTGTTATTAGCACTGATACCTGTATTAGTGTGACCAGAGATGTCAGTGGCAATCAGTTCCCACCCAGTGTCAGTTAGTGTCAGAATGCCTGCCGCACTATCGCAGTCCCGCTATAAGTTGCTGATCGCCACCATTGCTAGTATGATTAGAAAAAAATCCCAGTATATATATTATTATTATTATACTGGATTTATATAGCGCCAACAGTTTGCTCAGCGCTTTACAATATATACTGCCATATATAGATGCTATACCTATGCACTTATTGGGATTTTTTTTACCAAAGAAATGTAGCAGAATACATTTTGGCTGAAATTTATGAAGACATTTAGTTTTTTTTATTTTTCATTGGATGTTTTTTATTTTTTTTTATTTTTCATTTATAGTGCAGAATATAAAAAACCCAGTGATGAACAAATACCACCAAAAAAAAGATCTATTTATGTGAAAAAAATGATATACAGTAAATTTCATATGTGCACAGTGTTGCATGACTGTGCAATTGTCAGTTAAAGTGGCGCAGTGCTGTATAGCGATAAATGGCCTGGTCATGAAGGGAGGTAATCTTCCAGAGAGCAAGTGGTTAATATATTGCTGCAAAGTTAATTTCAAAGTTATCATACTCACTTACAGAGAAGTGTGTCCAGAAGAATTGTCAATCATCATTAATCTAAATATACAATTAAAACCGAACCCTATAAAACATGCACAGGTGCAGGAACTCCTGTAGTAATTATATATATAGCAGTTACATATTGTAAGATAATATTTGAAAATATGTTGTGAGCATGCACAAGGAAATACACAGACATTGCACAGTCCTAAAGACCAAGGAAAATGGGAAATTTAGGTAATATTTACACCCATCAGGTATAAAGGAGGTTGAAAGAGAAATGAGGGAAAAGCAGAGTGTGAAAAAAAGAAATAAAGTGAGAGAAGTATGAGAACAGATGTGAAGCAAGGAAAGTGTCTGTTGGGAATGGGCACAAGCTGTATATAATAGTGCAGTCCATGGAGCCATGGTCATGCCTGAAATTAGGCGGTAACTCAATTGTTTTCTCTTTAGATATTCCAGAAGAAGAGGCTCGATACTGGGCAAAGAAGTTAGAGCAGCTGAACGCCATGAGGGATCAGGATGATGTAAGTAGTCAAATAATAAACTGAAACTTTATGGGCATATTGTTGAAAGTGCTCAGTGTTACGGTTTACATGAGCTCCTAACCCAAAAGCTTACCAATTCTTTAGATGTGGTGGATGTATTAGTTAAATTTTTTAGGTACTCTTTTGCTTATACCATACCAGGGTGCTGTTCAGAGAATGCATTTTTTTTATTGTATTTTCTGAATGAAGGCAAACCATTTCTGATTGGACAAGGCAGAGAGGCAGGGTGGTCAAATCACACTCTCCACACTTGTCCAATGCAAAGCATTCTCAGAATGGCACCAGGTCTGAGCAGAAGACCTCTTGTGTTCAGAATACATCAGGTCAGCCACTCGGTGCGGAACCCAGGATCAAATGGAGGCCACTGGAGTAGGGGCATCAGTCAGGTATAGTATATGCATAGTTACATTGGCCCAAGCTGTATTAAAATATACATACCTTGAATTCATCTTTGAGGTGTAACAGTATTGAAATTAAAAAAGTAAACAAATAGCTGTAATAGAAATAGTGGTAGAACTAAAAAACTAATAGAAGCTGTAAGTTAAATACATGCACCTGGAGGAATCTACATATACTGTACATTTAACATTTATCATCTACAGTTGCAAAATTAAGAGTTTCACAGTCACGTATAAACCTATAGAATCATTTTGGGACAATATAACAGAATATGGGTAGAGAGCTACAAAACTTGTCGAAGCCTACCTTAAAGAGGAAATAATCAGAAACTACTTAGCAACCAGCAACTGTTGTGGCAGTAAACACTTTTGTTAAGAGTATCTAATGCACAGCGGTCAGCACTACTGTGATGCACAACATAATATATAGAGAAGAGCAGTCAGCACACTTTACTGTAATACACAACATATACTGTAGAATGCAGTGGCCTTGTGTCATGGTGACCTTTATTTTGCTGGTCAGTAGAAAAAAAAGATACCACAGGTCTGTGGTCAGCAGGAGAAAATGTTTGGCCACAGAGCTCAGAGGGAGAAAAGAAAATGTCCGCCATCTGTGGTCAGTGAAAAGAAGAATAATCCTGCCATCTGTGGACAGTAGTGAGGATAAAAATGCCTGCCATCTGTGGTCAGTTGGATCAAAGAATTGGTGTTCTTTTGGGAGGAAAGCCACTGATTCTCAGTGGAAGGACAGGTTGCAGTTCATGTTTTCTAATTTAAAGCAATGACACCATGGGACCCAATATCAAAACTCGCCTGATCACTCAAAGCCTGGCACTACCCACATTGTCTGCTGTGCTCTTCATAATGATCTTTTCAGTCAGAGGCACATAGGAAGTAGACAATGGAAGACTTCCACTTCATGTTTCATATTGTATTCATGGGACACAGTACAGGACACAGCAGGACAGCAGAGTAAAACACAGGGCTGTCAACATAGTGATGGACCAATAGTGAGAAGCAGGAGACAAATATAGGCAGGTCTCAGCTCACGGTCAAAGGGTTCAGGACTTCAGGTCCCCGTGGGTGCTTCTGATGATAGCATAAAAAGTATGCGGTATCTTAACTGACTTACTAAATTTACTTTAAAGTATATGTAAACCCTTACCTTGTAAAAAAAGCCATTCAGTTTAAAATTAAAATGAAAGGCAAAACACACACACACACACACACATATATACATTTTTTCCCTTTATTATAAGTGATCACATACCCTCTGTTTTCTGCTGCAAAAGGAGCTCAGAGTGCTACGGGAAGAGAAACAGTACACTGTTCTTCCAAGTGAATGGCTGTGCAGGGGATAGGGGGAGTTGTTAGCATAAGTCTGATCATTGGAGGAGAGCAGACTTCTGAATTGCCCTTCCATATGCACCTTGCTGCAAATGCCAGTTATTGGTTGGGTTAGTTGCTACTTTTTTCTACAGTTGAACGAACTAGGTACAGGGATGCACTGGATGCCTTCACAGCCATTGTGTTCTTGCTGGGTGCCTTCACGGAGGGGTGGGCTCCTTCCAGGCATACCTGCCCTTAATATATCCATTCGTATGTGTGCTCCTACTATGAAGGCTCTGGATTTAAAGGGAAAAGGGGGAAACAGGAGAGAGAGGGGAATGATAAAATCCCAATACTGCTCACAATAAATGACTCACTGACACAAGAGGCAAACAGCAGCGATATAGCCACATGCAGATGTCATCCACATGTAAGGCATCCTGTACATATGTTCCACAGAGTAATCTAAATTTAACACTAAAAGGTAAGTGGAAATGTCCATATTCCACACAGTCATAATAGTACTATCCAGCATCCGATTATCAAACCCATACCTTGTTATCCCATCACAAAGGGAGATGTACAAAAGGTCCACCATCGGACATCAATTATATAATATCAATAGACTTCTTTGATGTCCAATAACTCCTCTGTGCCAGTCACAGAAACCATCCAAGAATGGTTCCTATAATCACATAATATGTAGCCATACTCAGTAGTGTCCCCCTCTCAAACACCTCCATACATCGAACCAGGTCAAAATAACCTCTGCGTGTGTCTTTCTCCACTGGTACCAAAAGCATCATCTACCGGGGCATTTAAATGATGTCATCAATCAAGGCCAGCATATCCGCGCCCTAGTGATCCATCCAGCGGTAAGCGTGCATCGCTCATGTGCGTCTACATCACTTCCGCCCTTACAAGCTACTGGGCGGAAATGCATCATGACACATTGAGAGTGTCCATGACACTTGTTCGCTCTCCTCAATAGACCCCACAGCCTTGACTACATACTCCTATAAAGCGGCCCTTAGCTCAAAAAAGCGACACACACTGGCCAAACGAAGCCACCACCTGGCTTCCACCACCTCAACTCCACCACCTTGGTAGACCCTGGGCCAATTGCGGTCCAGTTTCTCAGATGTTATCCATAGCCGAAAGCTTACAATCCATACATAAATCATCAATACCATAGACAGAATTAAATACAAAATAAGTGCTCATTGGCTATATTTGTTATCTCCCCCATATTTGATAATATATTAGATCCCTAATGGAGATGACCACCCCCACATGACAAATATTACATCAATGCGGAGAGTCATTAATTATCAAAAAGAAAAAAATATATATGAACAAACATGATCATAGCCCCACATCAAAGCTTCTCATAAATTGGACATGTGGTAACAACAGGGGTCATATGACTATATAAACCCCATAGCATAATATTCTTGGAAGATCACCCTATATACCCTGAGAGAATACACAGAGCATGCACTCAAATGGCTCTAATATTACCCATCTTATAAAAAGGGTGTATAGCTTAGTGCTTTGTTAAGGCCCGGGGGGGGGTGGGGGGGAAGTTACATGTAAAGTATATATCCATCTTGCCTCTTTTTGCAATACCTTTGGATCAAAATTTCCACCCCGTAGATCCTCCAATACCTTTTCCAGGGCTGCAAATCATATTATATTTGTATTATGACCATGTTTCAGAGCCACGTGTCTTCAATAAACATGTTTTATACAGTAACATGAGGTGGTCCATCTTTTGTACCAGTAAAGTCCCATCAGTTTTTGTGTTTTTTCTAGTTGCATAGTTGGGATGAAAAAAAGACACACTTACATCAGGTTAAACAAAAAGACAAAAATAAATACTTTATTAACATTTTGCATTCTCAGAACCCTAAACCCACAGTTGATCCAGAGGAAGGTAAAAAAACCCATATAAGGCATAATCCAATTTGCTTTAACAGAGAGAAAAATCCAATTTCTAGTTTGGGCTTCTATAAAGTACCTCATAAATATACTGGTTATATGGACAGTTTAATTATGAATATCAGATCATCACTTATTTTTTCTTATTCATAACTGAAGGCGTCTATAATAATTTCACTTTGCCCTGCTTGGCAGGACTACACAATGTTGGTGTACTGGTTGATCTTATAATGAGGCAACATGTTCTATCATCTGGTACTGGTTAGAAATGTGGTTTAGATTTGGGCTCATGGTAGTGTGGTAAATCAGCTAGATTATTATTATTAGATGTAGGTTCAAAAGCAAAATGCAAATGTGTGTGTGATTTTGCTGGGTTAAACCTTTTAAAAAACCATAATGCATTGCAAGGCTTTTGAACCATGGTCAGCTTGGAAAGTCCAATAATGATAAGAATTAGATAAGACAGCCACATCACTATAAAAGGGGAGACCCACAGTAGTCATATTGTCAGTGCATGATGGAACCTTTAGGGGGAGATAGGGAGAGCTCAAAAGGGACATCTGAAGGACATCTTACTTAAAGTGTTTATAAAAGCAAATTTGTTTTTTTTCTTTATTAAAATAATAAACATGTTATACTCACCTGCTCTGTGCAGTGGTATTGCATAGAGCAGATCCCAACCTCCTCTTCTGGGATCCCCCACCGGCATTCTTGGCTCCTCTTCTCTGTCTGCCCCCACAGCAAGTTGCTCGCTCTGTGGTAGAGGTATAGTCTCACCCCTGAGACACACAGCCTGGCTCGGCTCCACCCCCTGCCCTCTGCTCACAGCATTTGCCTGTGAGAAGAGAAAGACAATAATCAACTTCCCATGTTAATTGTTTGGCAATAGCGTGTCCCGAAGTCCCAGAAGGGACCACAATTGGTCATAAAAATGTTCTCATCCCTATTACTAATAAATGGCATTTGAAACTCCTAATACTTCACAATGTGTCATCACCACACAGTCTGGTGGCATCTGGAAAGTGCCAGCCTAAGCTATTGTGATGCCTATGAAATGTGTTGACCTTGGACCCTTTGTTTCTTGGGTAATTTTTACAATAAATCATTGTTGCCCAAATGCCAGGGGCATGAGAGGTGACTAATGTGTCATTTCTCTAGGCCAAAGGAACAAAGTCACAAGATATTCTGCTGAGAGCAAGATAAAAACTTGTTTATGGAAATTGAACGTGTTTATGACATCTAGTATGTCACATTAGAAGATAAAATCCTGTTTAAAGACGTCTACTTGCTTGAGAAGTTTATATGAGTAGAAGTTTAGGGTAGATAAGAAGTGTGAAAGTGTGACTTTTCAGATAACGAATATGGTGGTTGAAAGTGACTCTGTTATCCTCGCGGAACCCTTCTGCTAGCTCCTCCTGTGGTGGGTGTGGCGTCTACCCACTATTGGACAGCTTCCAGAAAATTGGTTTATAAGGCGGAGGTCCAGGTGAGAAAAGTAGAAGCTCCCCTTAGTAGCCAGAGGATGCTCTGATGCTGGGATTTTTGCCAAGGCTATATGGGCTCATCGACTGGTCATGCCTACAGCTTCCCCGTGACCCCCTGGGCAGTGTGGTTCCGATGGGATCTGTTCCTTCCAGCTTCTAACATAGCTTTGATAATGTATTAATTCTATGCTGTGATGCTGTCAAATGATGCTGTAATGCTCAAACTCTTATTGGTGTGTGTTATTATGCAGATTGTGATGACTATAAGATATATCCTCCTGTGTGTCGTGTGATAATAAAAGTGAAGGTTTTGACAGCGCAAGAATATTGCAGTTGGATTCTGTTATTTCTTGGAGTGCCGGGTGAATGCTATGATGTGCCAGGGCAGGTGTTCATTTGGTAGATGGTTTAAATGCTGATTAAAAGGTACTTGGTTGCATGACTACATGTTGATTGTGTGCGTGTATATGACTTGTTTTTTAGTTGTTGCACGCAGCATTTTTGATTACAGTTATGCATAGTGAAAGAGTGACCGGTAAGTGAATTTCCAGATACATGGTTCTCTTTATGTAGTCTCCATTTTGGGAGCAAATGGGTTAGGATAAATTTGGCCCCCCTAGTTGGTAAGTAATTAATCTTAAAGAAACTCTCCATACGATCTATATTACTATAAGTATTATAAACTTTAAATCCAATCATACTATTATTTATATTTCTTAACTATCATCTGGCCCATACAACTTGACACAGATGCTGTCTGTGAATGATTTCCCAAATAAAGGCCACTTGTTTGCTAATTTAGGACTACAATATTTATTTTGGAAGTCAGTGCATAGCAGAGAGGAGAACATGAGAAGTTGTGTTCATTAAAACAACCTTTGTGCTAAAATGTATTCCAATTTCCTATTTTCAGTATGTGTTTCAAGAAGAGGAGGAGAATCCACTACCTGTTCATGGCTCTCAGTGCTGTAAGTATAATTTCTCACCAAGGGTATCTCCCAGTCAAAACCATTGTGAAACAAAATATAATTATGTTTTTTGCTGAACAAAAACACATGGGCTATTAGTCTAAACCTAGTTCAATGTCCATAAAAAAGATCTATTGTTATACATTTTTTATTTTTCAACTTCCTAGGGAACTGTGCGTACAACGTCCGATTCATATCTATCCCTTACTCTCTAAGCAGCATGGCAGGACAGGATTTACCCCTTGTCCGACAACACTACTAGAAGAGAGACAGATTTGAAATTGACAATTCTGGTCTCTAGCAGCACGATCTACTCCAAAAACCAGTACTGTCATACACAAAAGCAGATTACACAGGAATCAGTGTCGTGTGCCTATCAGGTCTGCTTTTATACATACACAGCCCGGATGACACAGCACTATGTGAGATTTCAGTTTTATGAACTTTGTAGGTTACATTGCAGCACTCCATGATCCATCAGCTGGGATATGTATGTGTAGCAGCCCTGAGAGAGACACAGAGAGTCGCTCTGAGTGATCTGTCATTGTTATTAATGAATGAGCAGTGCTGCATGTTCCTTCATAATAGTAAAAGATCATTCACAGTTGCAGCTCCATGGAATGAATATGCAGCTGCTTATATACACACAGGGCAGATACTTTACACAGAGTCAAAACTCTGAGGCACCTTTAGCTAATATGAATAAACACTGATTGTTCATTCATAATAGCAACTTGTCACCTCTCCCCACAGGAACATCCATAATTGTGGCTTCAAAATGGGATAGAGCTACAGCATATAGGTCTATATAGGCTATATGCACTTGGTACCCTGGGGAGTTAAATAAATAAATAAACAAAAAAAAATAATAAATAAATATGGATTAATCTTTAACTCCATGATATGTAAAAAAACTTTCAAAAACGGAATACTTCTTTATCAGCAGTAGCAGCAGATATACACAGCTGTCAGGTGCAATGGTATGCTTTATTCAGTTCCCAGTAAAGATATTTTCCATACTTTGTTGAGACATGACAGTTCGCTAGCTATTTTATAATGGTAGTTAATTTGCAGAGGCCAATTTACTAAAGGAATTGAGAATCTTTGCATAAAAATTGTGTGAATTTTCATTTTAAAATTCAACTTTTGCGTTTTATATTTTATCCAACTTTCCCCATTATGGCCGGATATTGTGAGCTTTCCCTGAAAGTGATATTGGTTAGTGAAATAAATGTAGTTCTTTTTCAGTTATGTGCATAATTTGCATGTGACTTATTGTCCAAATTTATTGATATTCTGTGGGATGTAAACCATAGGGCATTTCTTCACACAAGAGTCTGGCTATCACTTTGTGCAACTCTTACGCTCCTCCTGAATTAGTTAACCCAAGTATGTGAAATATTCCTTGAGCATATTTAGTTAACAGTCCTCATAAACATTTCTCCTATTTAGGTAACTGGAATTATTTTGGCTGGGGTGAACAGCAAAGTAAGTTTAAAAAATTTCCTTTTGATGTCTTATTTGTATAAACCAAATGTACATGCCTTTCCAAGTAAAAGTTTCACGCTTTATTTTTTTTTCTCCCTAGACCTGTTTAATGTTTCTTGCATGTTTGGTTAGTATCAGTAGACACCTTTGTTCCCAAATGCTCTGGTGTCAAAGGATAATTGTACTTTTAGTTCTTGCACTGTGAGACAACAAAAATAAAGTTTATAAATGCAAAAGTAATAGGTAAGGGAAGATGGCAGGAAATTAGTTAATTATGACTGATTGGGGTTAATTAAGGGTTACTAATAGGTTACACAGTGGGTATAGAAAAAAATCATTCCCTTTAAAATAATCACATTTTATTGTTTTGCATCCTGAAATGAAGACACACAGTTTTTGTTTTATCCAGCTGTATTTACAACCAATTTACAACTTACACTATCCAAGTGAAAGATATAACACCAAAATGTCAGAAAAATAAATCAAAATTCAAAAGCATAATCACTGAGTTTGAAAAAGGATCAGCTCCTCCTAAAAATGACTTGTAAACACAATCAGGTTTAACTAATCACCTTCCCAATGGCACACAAGGCCATTTGATTTTCAACTGTGATCAGCTGTGATCATTTTTATTAGCTCAGCATGAAAAGAGCTTTCCTGAAGCATTTCAGTCCCTGTTAGTTCAACTGAAACAATCAGTCAATTATGGGTGGCAAGGAAAAATAAAAAGTTCTCCGGGATAAAGCTGTGGACAGACAGAAGTCAGGAGATGGATACAAAAAAATGTCAAAGGCTTTATCAATGCCTAGAAGCATAGTGAAGTCTATTATTAGGAAGTGGAAAGTATTTGGTACAACACAGACCCTCCCTGGATCAGGAAATTGCTCCAGACTGGATGAAAATGCCAGGAAGAAAATGGTCAGAGAGGCTACCAAGAGGCCTACAGCAACTCTGAAGCAGTTGCAGGAATTTGTTTGTATGGGAGGATTGCAAGTAAAAGTCCACTCCTCAAGAAAGGCCACATACAGTCATGACTGAGCTTTGCCAGAATACACCTTGAAGATTCTGAGGCCACATGGAAAAAGGTTTTTTTAGTTGGAAGAGACTAAACATTAAATAACTGTCCTCAATACTAAATGATATGTCTGGCAGAAATCCAATACCGGTCACCATCCAAATAACACCATTCCTACAGTAAAGCATGGAGGTGATAATATCTTCTTATGGGGGGCGTTTCTCTGCAGCAGAGCCTGAAGCACTTGTCAGGATAGAAGGAAGAATGCATGGGGCAAAATACCATCAAATTCTTGAGGAAAATCTGCTGCCCTCTGCCAGAAAGTTGTCATTGTGAAGAAGGTTTACCTTCCAAAATGACAATGATCCACAACACACAGCAGAAATGACCACACAGTGGTCGAAGGAGAACATGTGTGAATGTCCTTCCATGGCCTAGTCAGAGCCCAGACTTAAACCCCATTGAAAATCTGTGGAATGACTGGAAGACTGCAGTCCACAAGTCACCATCAAATTTAACTGAGCCTGAGCAGTTCTGCAAAGAAGAGTGAGCAAATATTGCAAAGTCTGGATGTGCAAAGTTAGTAGACATATTAGACATATTCCAGCAGACTAAAGGCTGTAATTAAAGCAAAAGGTGGTTCAACAAAATACTGATACAAAGAGGTGATCCTTTTTCCAATTCTGTTTTTGACATTTAAAATTTTTTTCTGACATGTTGGTGTTATATCTTTCAATTGGATGTTATAGGTTGCACTGAATAAAAACAGCTGAATAAAACAAAAACTGTGTCTGTCTTCATTTCAGCCTGCAAACAAAATGTGATTATTTTAAAGGAGGGATGCTTATTTTCTATACCCACTGTATTTCAACATTTTTTATTTTAATTCAGTGCTTCATTTGCAAAGTTTTGTGTAGCTCAAATGAAAAGCAATTAACAAAATACATTGCATTATTTTAGTTGCAACAGGGTTGAATTACTAAAGTCAAATGGGCTGCTCAGTGTTAGTTTTAAAGGATAAGTGCACCTTTAGGAACATGTTACATGTTTCACCCGTTTTTAGGGGGGAACATGTAACGTTCCCAATGCTGCAGCCACCACCCGCTGCTCCCCCCTCCCTCTGACAGCAGTATGGAGAGACATTCCCCATACTAGCTGTCACTATATAAACACAGTGCTGCCGTGCAGTGTTCTGTGAATCCTATACGAGCAAGCAGATATACTGACAGGTCTGAAGGAGATCACTGGTGCAATGCTTTACAGGCTTCTGCAGGCAAAAATAATAAATGCACATTTTTTTTTTACAACAAAAATATGTGAATTTATTTTTTTTTTTGCAAAGGGTGAACATATTCTTTAAATTTGCAATAGAATTTCCAAACGTCTACAGTGTCTGTGGATGAAGCAGATGAGAGCTACTTGCAATCTCATGTTGGTTTTTTGAGTGATCATGCGTAAGGTCAGGGCGACCTATTCATATGAATGAACTAAAAATGCACCTCAGCAGGCCAAATATCACACATGCAGCATTTTTCTGCAGTCTGGCACATGGTAACGTTAGTGTGCATGTTAATGTACAACAATGGCATGAATGGGCCATAAAACTCCTAAGAATTCTGAACCATGCTATATGAGAAATACTGGGGTCTTGAAACTCTCTCTAGCTGGGGCTGTTCTTTACCTGTGAAATGAGTGAACTCAGTATTGACCCATGTGATTGGATTTTTATTTATACCAAAGCCTATTTGTATAGAAGAGCAGTTGCAGCAGTGAACAATCCCTGGTTGTACAAGATACAACCAATGCACTTATAGTATTTTTGGGCTTACCTGCTAGGCCTAAGGTCTCTAACTGGTTACTGTGAATTATCACAAAATGGCCAAAGTATAACTATCTCATCCTTGATTGAGGTTTTCCTATTTATCCTTAATTATATGTAAGCACAGTCTAAATATATCAGTTATAACATGGAAACATTATTTCAAAAGTAATTTTCAAGATTTCATAACGCTACAGCTTTTATTAGAATAATGCCTGGTGATCCTACAAAAGGTTGATTGTTTGCACTTGCCACTAGTTTGTGTTACCAAGCTTTTGACAATGGAGAGAAGTACAGGAATGAAAAAAAAACAAAACAAACACGCTCAACTTGATGGCTGCTGCTTCATTCCACTGCTGCAGCTGTCTTCCTCAGCTCTACATCGAGAGAACTGAGTGATCAAAGATGACTGATGGCTCAGGTCTGCTCTGAGCACAGAGCATTGGCTGTCAGTCACTGGCTCTCTGCTCTGCCCCTCCAGTGCTCACTTGCTGTAGAGGGGATAGGGGCAGCTGGTTCAGGCTCTCAGCAGTGCACTGGAAGGCTGAAACAGCTGCACACCAGGCATCTGTGTAGATCCTAACATTATTGTCAGGATCCCTGTAGAGCCTGGACTGGCTCTGTGATGTCAGCTGACAGCAGATTTTAGCTGAATTTGGGTTACAGGAGCGTAGAACTGAGTGCACTCCTGTGACCCATAGGAGAAATATGGCTAAAAGAGCTTTGGCCATGCTTGTCCTTTAAGATAGTCTACTGTTTTAATAGACATCTATTTGTATGGTAGTAAGATAACTACACACATGGTCAGCAACATCACATTGTCATCACATGAAGGCAATAATACCCATAATCTTCTCAATAATTTTGATGGAAATAATACAATATGGTGGCCAACTGTACATTAGTTGTGCAACTGTATCTACATGCATAATTAATATATTGTCATTGTTGACATTTACTTTTTCATCTTGCAGACAATGAGGATCCTGACAGTGCTGTTGATGATCGTGATAGTGATTACCGAAGTGAGACAAGCAATAGTATCCCTCCAGCTTACTATTCAACATGCCAGCCAAATGCCTCTGTACACCAATATCCTGTGAGAAACCAGTACAGCTCCCATGGATCTTATACTGACTCTGTACACAGCTATGAGATGGATTTTTCAGATCACCGGCCGGTCAGGTACAGATAGACAATTATTGCAGAGCAATGTTAAAGTATTTGTGTTGGAATCTAAAAATTAATTATTTTTAACCTGATTATGGTTAACATTTCTTATTACATTAATGTCTGTGGGATGGCAGGATGGAGGGGTGTGTGTGATCCCCTCTGACCTGTCTCCTCTTTCCCTGCATGGCAGGCATTACGATAGCGCAGACTCTGCCACTAACGGGCGCAGTGATGGGGAGTCTGTCTCCGGTTCAAGCCGCCTCACCAGTCGGCAGCACTCTCTGGAGAGCCGGCAGTCACTAGACCTGTCTGATAGGTGGGTCAGTCCCAAGATGTTGCAGTGTTGATGCTGCAGAGTGCTGTGCTCGTCCTTTGCACATGCCAAGACAGGCCATAATATATTTAACTGATGTAATTGACAAGGCTTTTGAGAAGGATTTGGAATGTTGTCACATACCCCATACAGGGATAATTTTCTACTTACTACATATGCTTACTGCACTGGAATAACGGAATTAGGTTTGAAAGAACAGCAAAAATGTACTTCCTTTATACAGGAATATTTATATGAAAAGCAGAATAGTACTGATTTCAATCAAGAAACCTGACATGTTAATTAAGATCAATACAATTAAGGCAGTGGTGGCAAGGGCCAATTTCAAATAAATACCAAGTCACTGACCATTATTACTATCTTAAGCATTATATAATGTTAGTGCAGCTTCTAGCTGACCAACAGTGCATGTAATAAAATGCAGTATAACAATTTTTCATGTAAATGAAATAAAATAGGTTTAAAATGAAGTCCTGCTTAAAATGACATTCTGTATCCTACAAGTGACCGCTATTGGGCTGATTTACTAAAGATGTTGGGAATCTTCACAAAATAAATTGTGCGAATATTCTCTTAAAGTATCCACTGATATGCAGATATAAGTAAACAGGAATTTACTTTTTAGGATTCAATCATTGAGGTCAGGGCCAGTGCTACCACTAGGCGAACTAGGCAGCCACCTAGTGCACATTGCCACCTAGGGTGCAGCCACAGGTGCTGGTTTCCCTACTCTCCACCATCGCTGGATCTGAGGGAGGTGCTGGGGTGGGTGGGAGGAGTTTGGGGGAATTTGTCTTAGGTGGGGGAATTGGAGGAAGAGGATTGGTGCTGGAAGGGGGGATTGGGGGGAATTTGTGCTAGGAGTGAGGATGGGGGGGGGTTTGTACTAGGAGGGGACATTTGTGTTAGGAGAGGGGATTGGGGGGGGGGTGATTTGTGTTAGGAGGGGGGATCTGGGGGAATTTGTACTAGGAGAGAGGATGGGGGGGGATTTGTGCTAGGAGAGCAGAGTGGGGGGATTTGTGTTAGGGGGAGATGGGGGGTTGTTTTAGGAGAGGGGTTGGGGAGGAAAATTGTGCTAGGAAGGGGGGATTGGGAGTGGTTGTGCTTGGAGAGGGGATTGGTAGGGTTGTGCTAGGAGGGGGGATATGGGAGGGGAGGAAGGACTTGTTCTGGGAAGGGTAATTTGGAGAGGGTTTCTAGGAGGAGTGATTCAGGGGAATTTGCTGCTAGGTTACGGAATTGGGGGGATTTATGGGGGACAGGATATGTGCTGGGGTGGAAAATTTGAGTGGAAAGAGGATGTGTGTTAGGAGGGGTGAAGTAGAAATACAGGTGAAGTTTTTTTCTGTTGGGGTGGGGGTGGGGGATGCAAGAAGCTGGTCTCGCCTAGGGTGCAAAATAGTCTAGCACTGGCCCTGATTGAGGTGAATATTTACACAACTCCTTTAATTTGGTCTAGTTATATATAGAAAAATGTAGGGTTCCAATTCTCCCACAGCAATCCTTGAGACACTTGCTAATACAGTGGTTTACAGTGCTTTGTGGGCCAAGGCCATTTCTAGGATCGCAGATGTCATAGGACACCCATGGAAATACAGAGGAGTAAAAAGCTGCATTGCATATAGCATGCTGTGGCCAGCAGTGTGTGGTGCCACATAGTGATAAACCGTGTGCATGGCTTAAAAGAGCCTGGTTAAATAATTTGAACCTACTTTCTATATGTACAGAACTTATATGTCTTAGTCCTTGTATCCACAAAAGTATGCTTTAAAGTGACATTATCACCTTGCTCATCAAGGGAAAAGTGACAGTGTCTTTGCAAGTGCATCTGCTGATCACCGTCAAAAAATACCTGACACTTTGACAGTGCCCTGGCCTAAGATCAATTTTCTGGGGCTAAGGAATTTCCCATGACCGGGGGGAGTAATATCAGTAACATCACCACTCCTCCATTTTATAAACACAACTGATTTTAGTACAGGCAGGTAACTGCTAGGGAGTACAGGTAAGGTGAGTATATGGGGGTTGGGGAATACCCTTTGCAGAGACACTGTCATTTTGACAAGATGACAGTGTTTCTTTAGTTACTATGTCACAAGAGAGCATGCTAGCATATCCACATAAATCTCAAAACCTAAATAAAAAGGTTGCGGACTACTTGGAAGCCAACAGCTGTTAATACTTTGATAAGGAGCTTGTAACCTACAGTACAGATTACAGTGTACAGAAGTCAAAACTTTATAACATACAGCATAAAGCCCCTTTCACACGGGCGGACTTCATTTTGATCAGCAGAGGATGAGCCATCTGTGTCCGCTCAGATAATGCAGAGTGGCACGGACAGGAGTACATGGACTCTGCTGTCTGTTTACACCCAACTACCCTCCAATCTGATCCACCTAGATGGAGGAGAGTGAATCTACTTCCATTTTTTTTGTTATGTCAGACCAGGGGTAGGCAGGTGTAAACGAACACAAGTCCGCTTACACCCACCAGTCCATAGGGGCGAGTGGACTGTCTGACCAGATCCTCCTGAAAAACTGACAGGCGAACCTGATCGGACCCTTCATGTAAAAGCACAGCTCACATTATGTGGCAGTTAGGAGTATGTAACATACTGTACAGCTTACAGGGTGCAGAAATCAGGATTATGTAATGTTTAGCACAGTTTACAGTGTGCAACTATTGGGAATATTCTCCCAGCACCCACTCCACCATCTCCCAAACCACAATTCTTGCTCCTTCAGTAACACCTACCCCCTTAAATCCTGAATTCTTCCCCCATGCAGCAGCATTTATCTCTGTGAAGTTACAGTGGGGCAAAAAAGTATTTAGTCAGCCACCAATTGTGCAAGTTCTCCCACTTAAAAAGATGAGAGAGGCCTGTAATTGGCATCATAGGTAGACCTCAACTATGAGAGACAAAATGAGAAAACAAATCCAGAAAATCACATTGGCTGATTTGGAAAGAATTTATTTGCAAATTATGGTGGAAAATAAGTATTTGGTCAATATCAAAAGTTCATCTCAATACTTTTGTTATATATCCTTTGTTGGCAATGACAGAGGTCAAACGTTTCCTGTAAGTCTTCACAAGGTTGGCACACACTGTTGCTGGTATGTTGGCCCATTCCTCCATGCAGATCTCCTCTAGAGCAGTAATGTTTTGGGGCTGTCGCTGAGCAACACGGACTTTCATCTCCCTCCAAAGGTTTTCTATGGGCTTGAGATCTGGAGACTGGCTAGGCCACTTCAGGACCTTGAAATGCTTCTTACGAAGCCACTCCTTCGTTGCCTGGGCGGTATGTTCCTTTCCTCCGTTCCCAAAATCCATTCACTATATCCCACTGCTCCTCCCAAACATTTGCATATTGTGTCCTCACTGCTTCCTTCACCCCTCTACGGCACCCACCACCTCCTCCTATTACTCCACTCTCCCACTGACCCGAACACCTCCACTAGTAGTTTCTCACGCTCCTGCACATCCCACTCCCATGCTACCTTTCTCACCCTTCTCCTCCTCATAACCGCGGGGGACATCTCCCCGAATCCTGGCCCTTCACCACCTCCCTTACCCGCACAACACCCTCCCGCCTCCATGTTCCGCCGCAACCCCCGTAACTTAGTATCTGTCCCCCTGCTCCCTAAAATCTCCCCCACGTTTTCATGTGCACTCCTGAACGCCCGATCGGTGTGCAACAAGCTTACCGCCATCCACGACCTCTTTGTTTCCCGCTCCCTCAACCTCCTGGCGATTACGGAAACCTGGATCCAGGCCACTGACTCTACCTCCCCTGCTGCACTCTCCTACGGCGGTCTCACTCACCCAGGCCCAACGGTCGTAAAGGTGGTGGGGTTGGTCTACTCCTGTCACCGCAGAGCACCTTTCGAGTCCTCCCAAACCCCCCCTCTCTATCCTTCTCCACCTTTGAGGCCCACTGCGTCCGACTATTCTCCCCAACCCCCCTGAAGATTGCTGTGATATACCGGCCTCCTGGATCCATACCCCGCTTCCTGGATGACTTCTCCTCCTGGCTACCCTTCTTCCTCTCCTCTGAGCTACCCACCATCATCCTTGGGGATTTCAACATCCCTGTCAACCTCGACAACCCGGACACATCCAGTCTCCTCCACTTAACCTCCTCCTTTGCACTTGCACAGTGCATACAATCCACCACCCACTCTGACGGTAATATCCTTGATCTCGTCTTCTCCAACCGCTGCTCTCCCCACAACCTCACTAACACCCCCTTCCCTCTCTCTGACCACAACCTGATTACCTTCTCTATCTCCTCGTCCTCCAACGCCTACCCCTCCAAATGTCACACTGCTACCAGCCGTAACCTCCACAACCTTAACCCTGCCCCCCTCCACTCTGCAGCTGATGAACTCCACGACAGCATCCTCCCCCTGTCCTGCCCCGACTTGGCTATGGCCATTTTCTAATTATTGCTCCCACAGCTGATTTGTTCACACCAAGCTGCTTGCCTATTGCAGATTCATTCTTCCCAGCCTGGTGCAGGTCTACAATTTTGTTTCTGGTGTCCTTCGACAGCTCTTTGGTCTTCACCATAGTGGAGTTTGGAGTGTGATTGTTTTAGGTTGTGGACAGGTGTCTTTTATACTGATAACAAGTTCAAACAGGTGCCATTGATACAGGTAATGAGTGCAGGAC